TTTCTCAAAACATACACTTGGCTCGGGAAGAGAAGATAAACATGAAGAAGAAAATGAGAACAAAACCCTTCGGGACATGGTGAACTACATCAAGTGAAGCCTGTCAATCATCCGACTGGCGAGATTTAGGAACAGATAGCTCTCTATAAACAAAACCAGTCTAGAATCAGAGCACGAGGAAGAGGCCTTGCGCATTGCACTTGACTTGCAAAGCACTGGTCCCTGCATTCCTGGTCTTTAGGCGGAGTTATCAATAGCATGGCTATTTCCACTGAATTACGGACTTGTCTATTTAACTGCCTACTTGACCTCTCCCTACTCAACTGCAAATTGTCTTCCTCCACATGGACACGGTCTACCCTGCCTTCCAAACTCCAGCTGCTGGAGATCCCCTCCATCCACTTGCTCCAGTTGTAAGCTTAAGCATTCGCTTTAACTTTTTTATTATATAAACTAGCCTTGCTGGCTCTATATTCACAATCTTTTTAGATTCTAACCACTTGTCACTACCTCGGTTGCCATTTGCGTTATTGTGATGGTCCTATTGGAAAGCCTATTTTAACAATTCAGCAGCATTGGTTTTCCTCATTTTAGTAGGAACATATTTCAAACATACATAAAGCTGAATTTTACCGTGATCATCTCTAGGCCCACTGTTTGGGTTCTACCGTTTCAGAACGGTCCTTTGAGACATATCGGATGGGAGGCTGGTGTTGTGGCACAGACTGTGACACTTGCATGACCATATCATAGTCCTGGTTTGAGTCCCAGCTGTTCTGCTTCTGATCCAGCTCCCTGCTGATGCATCCTGGGAAAGCAATAGATAACGGATGGCCCATGTGTTTGGGCCCTTGTCACCCACATGAGAAACACACAGAATTCCTGGCCTTCGGCTTTGGTCTGGGCCAGTCTGAACCAGTGTGGCCATTGGAGGAGTGAACTAGCAGATGGAAGATCTCTTTCTCTCATTGTCTTTCTGTCACTTTGCCTTTCCAATAAATATAATCTTCAAAAAAATATTATAAATGACAGAGTATAGCTATGTTGCTCAAAACCCACTGGTTTATGTTATTCTAAGGAAAAAAATCAGTTTCTTATCTGGCCTATCATGTCCAACAAGATCTGGTCCTTATCACCACTTTCTGTTTTTTTTTTTTTCCCATAGTTTCTCTTTTTAAACATATTATTTACTTGAAATGGAGGGAGTGACATCTTCACTCTACAAAGGGCCACGACAGCTGGGACAGGGCGAGACAGAAGCCTGGAATTCCATCTGGATCAGCAGCCAGGAAGTGAGCCGGAAGTGGGGTAGGCAGGACTCTGATAACAGGATGCTGGTATTTGAAACAGTGGTTGAACCTGTCACACTGCAAGGCCTGCTGGGGCAGGCTCATTCTCGCTTCCGGGCCTTTTGCCCTTGGATGCTCATCCCTCAGATATTTGCATGACTTGCTTTTTTTTTTGTTTGTTTGTTTTAAGAGCATTTCTCTGGAGGTCTTCTCTGATTCTTCCAAATATGAAAGCATTGCATTTAACCACATGACCCTACTAACACGACACTACCGTGTTGTGCCAGAGGAACCTAACGTTGGTCTGAGGTCAGAACTCACTGAAAACCAATTTGTAATTTCACATGATTCAAGGTAATAACATGGGAGCACTTATCCCAGCCCTTCATTCTTACCCAGTTCTAATATTCTTCATGGTATTAGCATCTTAAATACTCTCCGTATAATGTCTAACCAGAAGATCCTCAAAGATAAGGGCCTATTGTTGTCAACTACTGTGTATCCTCAGTGTACTGAATAACTTGTGTCCAGGGTAGGTCCATAGGCCATAAAGAACAAATTCTTGGCCATAAAGCCAGTGACCTTTTGAAAATACAAATGTTACATCACTCACTGAAGGCTCTTCAGCGGGTTGGCACTGACTTTAGAACCAAGAATGTTTAACTATTCCCGGTGAGACTTTGCAGCGTGGAGTCCTCCTTGACTCTCCGGACAAACCATGTTCTCCACGCTGTCAGTCTCTGGGATCTTACTGCTTCCTTTTCAGGCTCATATATGTTCTTCCTTGCCTTCCCCTCCACTTCTACATCTAGTTTAGTCTACTTGGGAGCACCCTGTAATCTTGGCTTGAAGCATCTCTGTGCACAAGCCACTCCAGAACCTCCAGATTGGGTTGAGTTCCCCCTCCTCTCTGCCCTCCTGGTAGGACACGACCACCCTCAGTAACACCTGCTAAAAGTCCCTCTGCGACACCATCTCCCTTACCAGCCAATCTCATGACAAAATGGCTTTGCTTTTGCTTCCTCTTGGATCCACAGCCTTTATGAAGTATCTGACACAAAGTAAATACTATTCATGTAGAAAATACGTGAAATGAACAGAAGCTTCTGGAGCTTTAGCTTTCTAAGGGCAGTCATCTCTATCCTCTCTGTGCTTCTGGTGCCTGGTACTGACCTGGTACCTGCTACACAGCACATAGCACCCATTTCTTAAACGGCCCTAATACGAAGGATTTTACTCTTCATTTCCATTCAGTAGTTTACTAAACACACCATTATGTAAAGGATGTTTTAATTTTTATTTCCAACGGGCACACAACGCAAAGTTAGGGCCCGACTATCTATGATGAGGTGTTTATACATAACTGATACCGTAAGTTCCAAGCCCCACCCCCATCAATCTTTCCCCACCATGAAGGAAGTAATCCATGCCTTGTTACCTATTACTAGAATCCACCCAGCCTGAATCACCTATCTTGAGTTGGCAGCTTAATCAACCCACCAGAACATTCTAGATGTTTAATTTTTCTTTTCATTCAAATGAGGTCTCTGGTATTGTTGTTCTTTTTGATAACAATCGCCGAAAAAATATTTCAGAGGTCAGAGGCGTATTAAAATACACATGCAAACAGGCTGTATAAATTTACACATTTATCAGGGCAGGATGAAACGGAAAAGAGTAAGTTAAAAAAGCAAAACTTACAAATCGCTCGCTATCAACTGTGTTGACCCACAGGATTTTTAAATAAAACTTGAGATAAGCAACATGGCAAGCTTATTGAGAGTTGCTAATTTAGGGAAGGGAGAACAGAGATGAACTATTGCAAAATGCACACTTCCTGACATAATGAAACATGAAAATAAAATCTCAACACAGAAAGATGTTAAGTTTCCTAGTTTTTCAATTTACTTGTATTTGAAAAGGAGGAAGTGTGTCGGAGAGAAACAGCTGATTGATTGATTCCATCAGCTGTTTCTAATAGTTTTAGTTGGACCACGTTAAGGGGTCTGGGTTTCCCACATGGGTGGCAGGGATTCAACCACCTGAGTTATCACCCATCAGCAGGAAGCTGAGAGGAGCTGGGATTCACAGGCAGGCAACTTGATGTGGGATCAGAGTCTTAAACCCAATGGGAAATGCCTACCCTCAGGTATTTTTAATCCTTGAACGAATGTGCTTGCGAAAGACAATTCTGTGAAGACAAACACAATGAATATTTACTCTTAAGAAAGGAAATCCAATTCCTTGAAGTCATCAACGAAAAAGCGATTTATCATGAAACAGAAATGTACAAACCACCCCACCTCAACTCCCAAACTTTCCATAGAAACAAAAAGTTTTCCTTCATGTATTGTCAACCCTGGAGCAGTCAGCCCACACACTTGGAAGTATTCACGTGTCAGGATATTCCACGAAGGTTAGCGGGCATGGATTTTTCATAGAAGGAGATCATTTAATGTGTGGGGAAAGACTATGTTCGAAGTAATTCAGAGGAATGCATCTGGTCTGGGTCTCTTTGCAACGACAAAATAGTAGTGTTATGCTTTATAATATTCTTGTCAGCATTCAAACCACATGACATTATAAACTCTTTAAAAAAATCTTGTAATTGCAGGTGGACCAGCCAAGACTCAAACTGGTGCTCCATTATGGGATGCGAACCCCACAAATAGAGTCTCGATTGGCTGTGCAACAATGCCGGCTCTTGACTTTAAACGAGTAGCTGGTTTTTTTTTTTTTTCAAAGAATTAATTTTATTTGAAAGTGAGAGTTAGATTGTCCACATGCTGGTTTACTCCCTTGATGGATGGATGCCAAGGCCAGCCAGGGCTGGGCCAACCTGAACGCAGGGAGCCAAGGTCTTCATCGGGATTGGCAGTGGAGCAGCTGGGATTCGAACCTGTGATGCTGGGTGTCACAGGCTTAAGCCAGGTGCTCCGGCACGGTTTGCAGAGGGGTCCCTGGGGGCTCTTCTAGAACAAGGCCAGACACTGACAGGGGATGTCAAAAGCTGCTTCCAAGCCTTGGCCACAAGCGCCTTCTCCGCGCAGGATTTCCTGCTTTAGCCTTCCCACACTCATTAACCTTAAATTGTAGCTCTCACCACAAGATAGGCTGTTCCCTCGCCCAGGGAGCCTCCCCGATGGTTCTGGAACCAACGTCAGGGCTACCTCCTGGCTTCTCCGCAAATCCGATGAAAAGCCACAGCTGTTCCACTTTGCTAACCGAGGCTGTGGAGCCGCGCCACCACCACTCGCCTTCGCGGTTTCTCTGCGTGGAACCGCCACCCCGGAGGGGCCCCGTTACTCGAGGTGACCCAGGTAAGGGGTAGCCTCGAACCGGCGCATGGATCGGTTCCCGTTCCCGGAGAGCCAACCCCGCTCCAGGGCCGCTCCCGGCCTCCGTCCCCGCCAAGCGGCCTAAGTCCCTCTTCCGGCCGCTCGCGTCCTCCCGCCGCCACCCAGCCCGTCCGTCAGCCGCCAGCCGGAGGGGGGAAACCGAGGACAGGAGGTCGTCCTCGGCTCGGCTCGGCCGGCGGACGGAGCACAGCCTCGGTCGGCGGCTCCAGGAGGAGAGCCGAACCCCGGCAGCCCGCGGCGCTCCCGGGACCGCCTTCCCCACAAGTGCTTCCGGGTGAGCGGGGCGCCGACCCCGTGGGCCCGCCCCTCCGGCGCCTCCGCCAAGCCGCTGGGGCCGCTGCGGCTCCTCCCGGGGCTGCCGGTTCCCGCTGTCCGTCCTCGGCCTCGGCGTCCAGCGCGGGCACGCCGGCGGGACTCGGCAGGCCGGCCCGGGAGTCCGTCCGTCCGCCCGGCGCTGTGCTCGTCCGCTTAGCCCTTCTTCCCCCGGGGGAACGGGTCCTGCTGCTGCTGCTGCTGCTGCTGCTGCTGCTGCTGCTGGAGGGGACGCCGCGGCCACAGCCCCGCGCGCCCCGACACAGGTAAAAGGGCCGTCCGTGGCGCCGGCTGGCCGAGGCCCGCTGACCCTCGCCGGGGTCGCCCCGCTGCCCGCCGCCTTCTCCGGCATCCCTTCGCCCGCTCCCCGACGCGCCCCCCGTGCGGCGGCGGAGGAGGGGGCGACTCCCATTGTAGGAGACGCGAAAAACTAGGCGCTGTCCCTGGGTGTCTCTGCTCGGACGCCACCTTCCCCCGGAGGTCCTGTCCCGGAGGGGCACCCCGAGGAACGGTGTCAGGCCGTGGAGGGCACAGTGGTTTGTGTTTTTGTTTTTTTTTTGGAGGGGGAGCGCAGTGGGGGTTTTTTATTTTCTTTCAATTCTCTTTCCTCCTCCTTGCCCCGCACTGGAACGCGGGCTTAACAGGCGATCGCCAGGAGGGCCAGGGTTAATGCTTGACTAATATGGGACATTATTCACGCCCACATTGTTAAGTTATATAGCTGCGGCCAGGCCTGCCTTCCCCTGGCGGTGGATCTCCCATCAGGAGGAAGCAAGGAGGGGACTCTAAGAAGCCCACTTCTTTTTCTTCTTTAGTCGCGGGGGGTTCCGGGGAGAGGGGGAAAGTGGGGAGAGAAAGTTCAAGTGCTGGCCCTACTTTTCCCACCGTGGGGAGGTTGCAGGGATCAGGCCGTTTCGCGGGGTGCAGAAGAGTGTGTCCCTAAACTTCAGCTGTTTGTACTTAATGACTCAGCGTTTCTGCCCTCCATAGAAGAGAGATGGAGAGGTTTAATGAATGAAAAGAGACATGTGTGGACATCTGTGCGCAAAGGTGCAGCTGTTGGAGAGCGCAGAGTTGCAGGGACTCCGGAGTCGGCTGTGGTTTTGAAAGTCTTAGAGAACAAACCTCTCAGCTCCCCAGCCCGCTCTGTTTAACCAATATGGAGATGTTGATGACCTAGTATTAAAATTATGCCTATGATGAGGATGAATTTTGGAAAGTGTGATTCATCTAGGAAGTTAGGTCATTCGCTTGATGAATCATTGATACAGATCTTGAAATAGGGGAAAGTGAAGTTTCTGCTCGTCTAATTGGGTGTCTTCACTCACATCCTAGGAAGTGCTTTGGGAGGTTTGTTGGTGGCCATTTGTTGTAAGAAATATTGCAGGGAGAACGGATAGATGCTTTGGCAGGATGTCTGGGTTTAGGCCAGCGTGCTGGCTCCTAAGTGGGTTGTTAGGATCCTGTTTGTTGCCCACATGTGGGAGGGTAAAAGGAGTTTGGAAGTAAGATCCATGTCCAGGGAGAGGAGGGCTGCCATCAAGAAGGTACGAGAAAGTTGAAGACATTTGCTAACGGTGCAAACCCGTCTTTAGAGTGGAAGGCCTCCCCCGGTTTGCCATTCCGTGCTTGAAAATGGAAAATGAGATGAACTGTACTGGGCTTTCATTTCAGGTTTGGTTACTGGAAGTTGGAACTTACTGGAATTGCTTCATTTTTAAACTAGAAGCAACTGCATTGCTGAAATGTAACTTAATCATATTTGGCTTTGGAAATGTTGTGAAGAAAAAGTACTGGCTCTTTGAATCCCTGGAGCGCTCACCTTGCTTTGCCTCTCTGCCCCTTTGGAAGTTAGCTTGCTCTGCCTGGATGCTCCATCTCTGAGGACTTGAACGAGCTGGTTCTAAAGCGAAGGCAGGTTTACCCTGTTGATCTTGGTCACCAGTCTCCTTTAATGCCTTGGCTCAACCTTGGCATCCGTCTTACTGTGGGAGATCCCTTCTTTCATTCAGAGTGTTGCTCGATGTTGCTTTTGATTTTCCTCCGGCTCCTAGTGACTGAAGAGTTTCAGTTCTCTTGTCAACAGAGCGTGCCTTTTGGAAAACCCCTTGTGGGAAACACCGTGCCTGGCAGCCTAGATAGGTAAATGGGCAATATCTAAGCGTGTCCGCGATGAACGGAAAAAGACGATAGGGCCAAGATATTTGGCAACAGACCTCTCTCTCAAACAAAAACCAGTCCTGATTTAGGAAAGAGGTTAACAAGAGGGAGAGAACACAAGTCCTTCCAAAATTCTTTTGTGGCTTGCTTTGCCTGCTCCCAGTAGGAAATGGACCGGAGCTGGTGATGTATAGACCTGGCAGGGTGCTGGGGATGTTGTTGAGGAGCGCTGAAATAACCTTGTCTGCCCGCCCTTTGGCCGCCCTGCGCACCGCGCCTGCGCACCGTGCCTGCGCCTGCGCCGTGGGGCCCTTCCACACCTTCCTCTCCTGGAAGGTAGTCGCTCTGTTTCTGGAGGATCCAGATGATCCTCTAACTGGGAAAATGTGCTGACCATTATTTAAAAAAAAAAAAAAAAAAAAAAAAAAGCTTTGAAAACATTGAGCAAAATACCTTCATGTTTTTCTCCATTTTCCTTTCCAAGGTGGATATGGGACATTTTTGGAGATTATCCTTTTTGGTGTTACATATTGCACCTTCGCTGCTGGCCTTTAATATATTAGGCTAGGGGGCCCGGTGCAGTAGCGTAGTGGCTAAAGTCCTCGCCTTGCACTTGCCAGGATCCCATATGGGCGCCAGTTCTAATGTCGGCAGCCGCGCTTCCCGTCCTACTCCCTGCTTGTGGCCTGGGAAAGCAGTCGAGGACGGCCCAAAGCCTTGGAACCCTGCACCTGTGTGGGAGATCCGAAAGAGGCTCTGGATTCCTGGCTTCAGATTGGCGCGGCTCCAAGCCCCCGTTGCAACTGCTTAGGGAGGGAGTGAATCACCGGATGGAAGATCTTCCTCTCTCTCTTCCCCTCTCTGTATATCTGACTTTCTAATATAAATAAATAAATAAGTAAATTAGGCTAGACTTAAATCAGACACTAGGGGCAGGTGAAGGCTTGGGGTCCATCTCGGGGTGCCTGGGTTCAGGTCCTGACCCCGCTCGGAGTCCTGTGCTGCTGAGGTCTCGCTGGCCCTTCAGATACAGACAGTACGATAGATCGATAGATCGATACAATAACTTCAAATCCCAGGCTCAGAGCTGCTCCTGGAAGTCTGGTTGGTTTGTGCTGTGTTGTAGCGGGGGCAGGCAGGGGAGCATTGTGCCCCGGGAGTGTGCGTGGCTAGTGGCGGGGAGCACCGCGGACAGGGTGCGTGGGGAGGAGAGTGCTCACTCAGGAGACAGTTGAGGGGGGGGCTTTCGGGGATTGCTGAAGCATTTAAAAAGGGGCTGTGATAGGACGAAAAGGAAGTCTCCTTTCTGCTGTAAAGTCCTAACCTTTCCTCGCTCTCACCCGCTCATTCAAGTAAGCGCTGGTACTAGTTGCTGGTGCATCCCTCTCCAAATTTTCCATTACATTTGCAGTCACATCCGTTTGGAAGGATTATCCCGCGACTTTCATTCTTAACCCTTGCTGTGTCTTAAAGTGTTTTCTGTGTGAGTGTGTCTGTCCTTCTCATTTGGAGAGCGAGCAGAAAGAGGACATCCGGTTTGTTCTTCAAGCGCCTGCATTTGTGTCGAGGCTGGGCCAGGTTAAAACCAGGAGTTGGGAGACTCGAATCTGGATCTCTGGTGGTTGGCATGGACCCAAGCATTTGGTGACGTGTTGGGAGCAGAGTCCGAGGCAGAGCGAGGGGCTGTGATTTGGACAGTCCCAGGCAGCGCAGGATATGCCAGTACAGGGCCCCTCCTTATTGACATAGAGGCAGGCTGGCTGGCAGAGCTCCTTTTTGCTGGTTCACTCCCCAGATGCCTGCAGTGGGGCTGGGCACAGCTGAAACTGGGAGCCTGTAATTCCATACAGGTTTCTTAAAGGGTGGTAGGGATCTGGTCACCTGAGCCATCACTGCCGCTTCCCAAGTTCTGACGCAGGAAGTTGGCGTCAGGTGATGGAGCCAGGAGCCCAAGTACGTGGTTGTCTTAACCACTGGTTCGCGTGCCTAGTCCCCATCTCCATTAAAAAAATACATTGTAAACGTGTTTCATGAGGCAGTTTACAACATAGAGGGTCACTTGCTTAATTTTAATTGTACTGGTAAAAGTAAGCGCAGTTTAAAGACTGCTGTCCCATGTAAATGTTTATATTCGATGATAATTGAATGGCCACATTTGTTTCAGAATTGTTGACCAGCATCAGTTAAAAACATCATAATTTACCTTCTTGCCTTATTGAAGTCTGCTACTGTATTCATCCCAAGAGAACTAAATAGTCCTTTTTCTTATAGCTTCATGCCCTAGGCTGTTCACAATCAAGGGGGGAAAAAAACCTGTGGATCTGACATTAAAAAAAAATCCTCTTGTAAATGGAAGTGCTGCTGGCAGGTTAATTTCTCAAGGCAGGAAGTTGGTACAGAGTCAGTCTTTATTTTGCAAAGTGTTTGTGAGGGAAGTTTATGTTTGTGTGTGTGTGTGTGTGTGTTTTAATTTTAATGTTAGGTGACTTGTGACCAGGAGAATGTTCAGGATTCTTGGCGCTTTTGAAATGTGAATGAAGAGAAAAAATTAATCGTTGAGGAGCAAACGTGATGGAGTCGAAACTCCAGGGTAGCAGTGTCCCTGGCTGTGGCCCAGGGTCTATTTTGAGGCCTTGTCAAAGCTGGCCTGACAGAACCTTCCACAAAACCATAATCTGACCTGGCCCTGCTACAAGCCAGGAAGACCTGCGGTTTAGGCAGAGTGGCAGCCACATGAGCGCCTTGTAAAGGACATTTGTCTCTAGGAGATTACGGCTAAGTTTTAGGATGAAAATCAGCTTAGCGCGCACAGCCCTGGACTCAGGTTTGTGGTGCTCTCCGCCGCTGCTGCTCTCCCCTCCTCCTCTTTGTCTCCCTCTTTCAAGAAAGAGGATGAGTAAGGAAAACGAAGGCAGAAAGTTTATTAGAAAAAAATATGCACACGTGGATGATAGGATTGGACCCAGTATTTGCAGTGTCCTGCTTGTATGTTTTTGGTTTCTAGCATTAGCCAACAATCAGTTGAGTGTTTCCCAATGGAGGAGAGACGCCCCACTGTTCCTGCCTTTGGAAGGCAGTGCCAGTTCGGAGACGTGCACACTGGTCC